AAATTGAGTACAAAAGCCATAAAAGAAACAAAGAAGGTCACTACATAATAATAAAAGAATCACTGAGCAGGGTGGCCTGAAACCGCTTGGTAAGAGATGGAAGTGGTTCAGGGTGGCTGGAGTGAGGGAGCTCCAAGTCAGGGCTAATAATATCCACTTCCCTTGTTAGGGGATTTAATAAATAACATTCATACTGTGCTAAACATAATGCTCACATAGGTGCTCAATCAATACTTCTATTGTTCCTCCCTTGATTTGTTTGATTATATCAACTTCTAGCTCTGAAATTCCATGATTCCTACCATACTGCATGGGTTCTATTGTGTATTGGTTTATACACTGTCTAGCACATTGTGCATGTTAAATAAATAGTCTCTACAATGGTTGGTAGAAGTCTGAGTAAAAGAGGATAAGTGGTTGAAACAAACAAACAAACAAAATAATAAAAGGATCAATCTAACAAGAGGATATAACTCTTATCAATATATATGCACCCAATATAGAAGCACCTAAGTTTAAAAAAATTTTTGGTAGATTAAAAATTTTTTAAATATATTTTTATTAATTTCAGAGAGGAAGGTAGAGGGAGAGAGAGGTCTAAACATCAATGATGAGAATCATTGATCGGCTGCCTCTTGCACAACCCCTACTGGGGATCGAGCCCACAACCTGAGCCCTTGACAAGAATCAAACCTGGGATCCTTCAGTTCGCAGGCCAACACTCTATCCATTAAGCTAACTGGCTAAGGCTTTTGGTGGACTTTAAAGAAGAAATCAACTGCAATACAATCATAGTAGTAGACTTTAAACCCTACTGTCATCAATGGATAGATCTTCCAGAGAAAATGTCAACAAGGAAACAGCGACCTTAAATGACACACTAGATCAGGATTTAATTGATTTAATTAAAACATTTCATCCCAAATCAGCAAAATATTCTCAAGTACACATAGAACATTCTCAAAGACAGACCACATGTTAGGACACAAAAGAAGTCTCAATAAATTTAAGAAGATTGTAATTATCTCAAGCATCTTCTCTGACCACAATGGCATTGAAATAGAATTCAACCATGATTTAAAAAAAATATATCAAAAATATTGAAATACATGTAGGTTAAGTAGCATGTTCTTAAATAATAAATTGAGTACTAATAAGATCAAGGAAGAAATAAAAAAATTACCTGGACACAAATAAAAATGAACACACAACCATCCAAATACCTATGGGACACAGCGAAAGCAGTCCTGAGAGGGAAGTTCATAGAATTACAGGCCTACCTCAGTAAGTAAGTAAAATATCTAGAAAACAATCTAATCCTACATCTAAAATAATTGTGGGGTAAAAAACCTCAGAACAGTCCAAAGAAAGTATATAGAAGGAAGGAAATAATAAAGGTCAGAGAAGAAATAAATGACATAGAAACTAAAAAACAATATAAAAGATCAATGAAACCAAGAGCTGGTTATTTGAAAGGATATAAAAGATTAATGAACCTTTAGCCTGATTCATCAAGAAACAAAGAGATCAGAGCCAAATGAATATAATCAGAAATAAAACGAAGAGGTAACCACAGACATCACAGAAACCAAAATGATTGTAAAAAATATTATGAATAACACTATGTCAAGAAAATAGACAAGCTGGGTAAAATGGACAAATTCCTAGAAACACACAACCTTCCAAAATTGTATCATGAAGAAGCTGAACACCTGAATAGACCAATAACAACTAATGGAATCTAAGGACGAATCGATAAACCTCTGGGAGACCAAAGCCCTAGACCAAATGGCTCCAAGGGAGAATTTCACCAATCATTCAAAGAAGAACTAATAGCAATCCTCCTCAAATTATTCCAAAAATTCAAGAGGAGGGGAGACTTCCAAGATCGTTTTATGAGGCCAACATTATCCTAATACCAAAACCAGATAAAGACACTACAGAAAAAGAAAATTATAGGCCAATAGCCCTGATGAACAATGATACAAAAATCCTCAAAAAAATATTAGCAAATCAGATCCAGTAATACATTAAAAAATAATACACCATTATCAAGTGAGATTTATTCTGGAGATTCAAGGTTGGTACTATATCCACAAATCAATAAATGTGATACATCACATAAACAAAATGAAATATAAAAATGACACGATCATATCATTAGATATAGAAAAGCATTCAATAAAATCTAGCCCCCATCTATATATATAAAAGCCTAAAGTAACCACTCAACAATTTGACCAGTAGCTATCATGCACACTGACCACCAGGGGGCAGACACTCAATGCACAGGGATGGAAGAATGGAACAGACTGATGAATCTCAGAGGGAAGGGGGGAGGGGGGAGAGCAGGAAGAGATTAACCAAACTAGAGGCCTGGTGCATGGATTCATGCTCCAGTGGGGTCCCTTGGCCTGGCCTGCAGGGATCGGGCCAAAACTTGAAGTCCGACATCCCCCAAGAGGTCCCAGATTGCAAGAGGGCACAGGCCAGGCCGAGGGACCTCACTGCACGAACCCGTGCACCGGGTCTCTAGTATATGATAAACACTCTCAGCGAAGTAGGAAGAGAGGGATCATACCTCATCATAATAAAGGTCATATATGAAAAACCTATAGCCAATATCATACTCAATGGGCAAAAATTAAAAGTATTTCCCTTAAGATCAGAAACAAGACAGGGATGTCCACCTTTTTCATACTTATTCGACATAGTACTGGAAGTCCTAGCCACAGCGAATAGACAAGAAGAAATAAAAGACATCCAAGTGGGAAAGGAGCAAGTAAAACTGTTTTTATTTGCAGAAAACATGATTTTGTATATATAAAATCCTAAAGACTCCACCCAAAACTTCTAGAACTAATAAATAAATTTGACAAAGTTGCAGGATACAAAAGTAACATCCAGAAAGCAATGTCATTTTTATACACCAATAATGAATTGTCAAAAAGAGAAACTAAGAAAACAACTCTATTTACTACAACAACAATAAAAATAATGTACCTAGGAATAAATTTAACTCAGGAAAATATAAACATATGGGAGCACAACAAGCTAAAAAGCTGCATAGCAAAAGAAACCATTGACACAATGAAAAGGGAACCCACTGTATGTGAGACTATATGTACGAAGGATACATCCAATAAGGGGTTAATTTCCAAAATATATAAAGAACGTATACAATTCAACATCAAGAAGACAAACAATCCAATTAAAAAATGGGCAAAGGACCTGAATAGACACTTCTCCAAAGAGGACATGCACATAGCCAATAGAAATGTGAAAAAAAAAAAATACTCAAAGTCAGTAATCATCAGAGAGATGCAAATTAAAACTACAATGAGGTACCACCTCACACCTGTCAGAATGGCCACTATCAATAAATTAAGAAACAAGTACTGGCGAGGATGTGGAGAAAAGGGAACCCTTGTGCACTGCTGGTGGGAATGAAGACTGGAGTAGTCACTGTGGTAAACAGTATGGAGTTTCCTCAAAAATTAAAAATGGAATTGTCTGTTGACCCAGTGATCCCACTTCTGGGAATATATGCTAAGAATCCTAAAACACCAATCAGAATTTTTGCATCCCCATGTTTATAACAGCATTGTTTACAATAGTCAAGATCTAGAAACAGCCTAAGTGCCCATCAGTAGATGAGTGGATAAAAAAGCTATGGTACATTTACACAATGTGGCTATATAAAAGAAGGAACTGTTATCCTTTGGGACAGCATGGGTGGACCTGGAGATTATTATGCTAAGCCAAATAAGCCAGTCAAAGGAAGACAAATGCTATAAGATCTCTCTAATATGTGGAATCTAAGCAACAAAATTAACCAAGGAACAAAATGGAATCAGAAGCATGGACACACAGAACATACTGGCTGACATCTGAGGGGGTGTGGGTGGGAGTGACTGTCTAAAGAAGATAAAGGAATTAACTAAAGAATGAATATATATATATATATATATACATATATATATATATATATATATATATATATATATATCCCATGAACCCAGACAATAGTTTGATGAAGCACAAGGGAGAGGGAGGCGGAGTGTAGAGGTGGGCAAAGAGGGTGGGGAGGGGGATACCTGCAATAATATCTACATTAAAAATTTTTAATAGAAACAAAGAAAAAAAAGATAAATTTAAAAATCACTACCTACTCAATCAATCATTAGACTCCACATATATTAGTAAGTGAGATCATATTGGATTTGAATTTGTCTGACTGGTTTGTTTGATTCAGCATAATAATCACCAGGTCCACCCATACATTTTTGCCAATTGAGAAATGGGGGAAAAGAGCAATGCCAGGCTGAATCAGGGTTTTATTTCTTTCATGAAAGCTCTCAGGGAAGGTGACCAGACAAGGAACCCAGATAAGGGTGTGGAAAGACAAGGTGTCCACCCAAAGGCGACTACAAGAGGAGGCGGCTCCAGGAGGCTCATTTCCTATTACTAATGGAGGTGCTTGAAGAACTACCAAGATAGAGTAACCAGACAAATATATAGTACTGTAGATCCAAATTTTGGTCACAGTCAATGTCCCTGTAACTTGTGGGAGGAAAGGGGGGACAGCATATTCTATTTGCTCCACAAAGAGACATTCTCCTCTCCAAGAACCTTTCCCTCCATCCTTTTTTAAAAGAGAGGTTTCACGTTCAACTTCCTGTGAAAAAATAATCTCCAGTTTGTTAGGATTTCATGAGGCAAAACTCTGCTTAGTAGACGGGGACAGTGGCATAACAATGCTTACGATTTCTAATACACTTTTTACCCAAGCACACCAAGCAATTCAGTCTCATTTGAGAACAGAAAGAAAAATTAGATATTTTTATTGTTTGTAGGTGCATAATAAATTAAACTGGCCTCAGTCAGAGAGTCTTTAGTAGAAATAAATCCACGCTCACCCTCTAGAGAGCTAGGAAATAACCATCTGGCATCCTGGCCCCACCAGCTACACGTGACCTGTGATCCCACCTAAAACTGACCTGTGAAGAGAAGAGATCCTTTCAGCAGGTCTTTCCCCACAACTTCTTTTTTCAGGAACGCAAACTCCTCCATCAAGAGCTCAATATGTTCCTCATGCAAGACTTTCCCTGTGACGACAAAAATGGAACAGAAAGGCAATCGTCATCAATTGCATAGAGCTGTGCATCCCAGGGCATGAATCTGTGTTTCCCCAGCACAGAAGGACATACAGACCTCAAAACCAATTTGGGAACACTACACCTTTAAACACCCCCGCTGTAGGTAGTGCCAATTCTAAAATTACAACAGGAATAACAATCTAAGAAAGCAAGATTATATCCACCTGCCTCAAAGGCAAGATGAGATCAGGAAAATATCAGAATGGTGTAGCATAAAATTCTAAGATACAAAAAGAAAAAAAGCGGTTGTCGAGATTAAAGGAAAGAAGCTAGAACTAGACTTTATTTCAAAGAATTGAAAAAACAGATGACTTTTTAAATTATCTGGGTTAGAGGGAAAATAAAACCTTAATATTTATATTTTTTTCATTCTAAAAGAAAACCATTTAAAAATTTTTGCTCTAATGGCTTTTTCATATCTAAGCCAGGAATTTCATAACAACCCAAACTATCTTGTAATTAAGTGCAAAGTGTGGTTATGATCTACACTTTCATTGAAACAAAGAGAGAAATCTGGGCCACTGGAAGATACTCACCAACCTTTGCTTAACCCAGACTCACAGAAAACACTGCAGAACTTACTGGGCTTGTTTTGCACCTCACTGAATGGGCGGGAAGTCTTCAGAGTCTTCAGAGAGTGAGGTGTGTGGGAGAGTGAGATTCCTCTCACCCACTCCTAACCCATAAATAATGTCAGAGCTTCTTACAGTGAACAGCCCTTCTCTCCTGTGGGTGATTCTATCATGTGCATGCGCATGAGGGGAGGCTGGGCATCTGGGAAGTTTAACCATGTTTCAGAGCATCCTGTATTCTCTCCAGCACTATTTCTATATTTCCATTTCTGCATTTCCATGTCCATGGTCATTAAGAAAATTTTATCTTCAACTGCATCTTTGGATGTTTTTCTATCATTCAATTAATGCTCTATTGTGATAAATGTGGCAACCACAGTATACACATGTACACACGAATGCGCGTGCGCACACACACATACATATACATATTTTCTTTAGGTCAGTTCACTGAAAGGACTTAGAAGCAAAGATAACTGAAAAGAAAAAGCAATGAGCACACCTAGCATATAAATATTGGCATCAAAATATCAATTACTTCACTGTTGGGAATGAAAATTAATGCAGCCTGTGGAAAACAGTACGGAGGTTCCTCAGACAAGTAAAGATAGAGCTACCATATGATCCAGCTTCTGGCTCTTTATCTGAAGGCAACAAAAACACAAACGTCAAAAGATACGTGCACCCCTATGTTCAATGCAGCATCATTTACAACAGCCAAGACAGGGGAAGGATCTAAGAGTTCACTGACGGATGAATGGAAAAAGAAAATGTGATACACACGTGCTCAATGGGATATTATTTAGCCATAAGAAGAAAATCTTGCCATCTGAGACAACATATTGACCTTGAGGGCAATATACTAAGTAAAATTAGTCAGACAGAGAAAGACAAATATCATATGATTTCACTTATATGTGGAATCTAAAATAAAAAACAAAAACACTCATCGATACAGAGAAGAGATTGGTGGTTGCCAGAGATAGGAGGTGAGAAGTAGGCACAGAGGTAAAAAAGATGGTCAAAAATTACAAACTTCCAGTTACAAGATAAATAAGTTTGGGAATGTAATGTGCAGCATGGTGACTATAATTAGTACTTACCTGTGTATTTGAAAATTGCTAAGAAAATAAATCTTAGGAGTTCTGGTACAAAAAAATGATGATGTGTAGTAATAAATCTTAACTAGACTTGTGGTGATCACTGCACAATAGATATAAATAATAATTATGTTGTATACCTGAAACTAATATGTTATGTGTCAATCATATCTCAATTTTTAAAGATTTTAATTACAAAATACCATTTAACACTAAATGAACTAGGGCTCTTTGAAAAAATGTCTAGTTGCAGGACTGAGGTAGAAAAAGTTTACCATGAACATAAACCATTTCAAACAATGACAGAAATATAACAGCATGCGACAAGAGGTAGCATGAAGAGGTCCCCATTGACCAAATATGAAAACATCTGAATATCAAAATAAACAATGAAAATGGAGTTTAAAAGGAAGCCATACTGATATAAAGACATAAGCAGAAAGTGTGATAATGAATATTATCAGGTTTCAAACTACCTCCCCACAAAATAATCATTAATTATAAATGGGAAAAAATTAACTTTCATTGGAGTAGCCTTGCAGACACCACCTTAATCAAATGGTATCATCAATAATGTACAAATTAAAATTGAATGGCACCTGATAGGATGCAATGCAAAGAACATAAGATCACCTCTATAATATTTCTATAAAAGATGCATATCCCAAAAATAATTATGAAAAAATATCAGGCAAACCCAAATTTAGGAACATTATACAAAATAACTGGCTAGTAATCTTTCCAAATACCAAGGAGAGACTGAGGAACTGTCCAGAGCAGAGGTTAAAAGTGACATGACAGGGCACAAGAAGAGATAAACCAAAGAACTTATATACTTACTAGAGGCCTGGTGCACAAATTCATGCATGGGTGGAGTCTGGCTGGCCCGCCCTGATGGGGGCCCATAGGGCTGGACTGGCTGGGGAGGAGGGGGCTGCAGGCAGTTGGCCAGCCAGCCCTGCCCCCAATCAGGGTGTTGGGGGCCGATCAAGGGTGGGGCCGGCCGGGGGAGGGGGCAATTAGGGCCTGGATCAGGCTGGTTGGCTGATGCAGTGGGCGTCATAGCCACCAGTCATTCTGTTCATTCTGGTCATTCTGCCACTCTGGTTGCTGGGCTTTTATATATATAGCTATGCATAGCCCATGGATATGTGCAATAGGGCAGTGAAGACATAGTGGGGTGGGTAGGGGCTGGGAAGATGGAAGTAGAGGGGGAAGGGAAGATATCTGTAATACTATCTATATATATAAAAGCCTAAGTGACCAAATGACCAGTTGACCGGTCCCTATGACATGCACTAACCACCAGAGGGCAGATGCTCAACACAGGAGCTGCCCCGTGGTGGTCAGTGCACTCCCACAGTTGGAGCACCACTCAGCTGACCAACAGGCACCAGACTCCGGGCTCACAGCTGGCAAGTGCAGCTGCAGCGGTGCAAGCCTCTCTCACCTCCATGGCAGTGCTACCAAGCAGCAGCAGCGGCAGGTGCAGTGGGTCCAGGATGAGTGGGAGCGGTGTGGCGCCCGACCCGGGCTCAGGCTCCTCCCTTGCTGCCTGCCACTTCACGCACTACTACATCCTTTGGGGGATGTCGGATTGCTGGTTTCGATCCCCAGATGGGGATCAGGCCGAAACCAGTAGTCTGACATCCCCCAAGGGGTCCCGGATTGCAAAAGGGCACAGGCCAGCCTGAGGGACCCCACTAGTGCATGAATCCGAATCCATGCACTGGGCCTCTAGTGAACAACAAAAAGTTTATTTCAAAAAACAAAAGGCAACTTCTTAGAGTAAAATAAGAGGGCATTTGGCAATTAATGGACTTGAATTCCCAGATTGTTTGTTTCCTCAAACATATTACAGCAGTTTTTTGACATAAGTAGTATGGGTGTTTTGTCTATTATAGGTGTAATAAATGAGTATTTTTAAATTTGACAGAAAAAGAAGAAATAAAAATACCCATGACTCTAATTATCAGAAAGAACCACTACTAAAATATTGGTACATTTCCTTCCTGTCATTCTGCTCTGGGTTCTATTTTCATGGTTGTAATTCTCTGGTTAAAACAAAAATTATATTTAATTTTAATATTAAAGTCTAAACATAAATTCATGTCTGTAGAAAACTGAGCAAATGTTGGAACAAAATACCCCTTCCCTCAATTTCTACCACTTAATCACAGTTACCATTTTCTTTCATATGTTTTTTTTTTCTTGCATATATGGGACTATGATGTTTAAGAAATATAGGAGCCGAAACCGGTTTGGCTCAGTGGATAGAGCGTCGGCCTGCGGACTGAAGGGTCCCGGGTTCGATTCCAGGCAAGGGCATGTACCTGGGTTGCGGGCATATCCCCGGTGGGAGATGTGCAGGAGGCAGCTGATTGATGTTTCTCTCTCATCGATGTTTCTAACTCTCTATCTCTCTCCCTTCCTCTCTGTAAAAAATCAATAAAATATATTAAAAAAAAAAGAAATATAGGAACAGTCCTGGCCAGTGTTGCTAAATGGTTAGAGCATTGTCCTGCACACTAAAGGGTCATGGGTTTGATTCCTGGTCAAGGGCATATACATGGGTTTCAGATTTGATCCCTGGTCCCAGTCATGGTTCATGGGAGAGGGAACAAATCTATGTGTCTCTCTACATTGATGTTTCTCTCTCTTTCTCCCTTCCACTCCCTCTACAAAACAATGAAAAAAAAATAGACTTGGGTGAGGATACAAAAAAAGAAATACGGGCCCTAACTGGTTTGGCTCAGTGGATAGAGAGTCAGCCTGCGGACTCAAGGGTCACAGGCTCGATTCCAGTCAAGGGCATGTACCTTGGTTGCAGGCACATCCCTAGTGGGGAGTGTGCAGGAGGCAGCTGATCGATGTTTCTCTCTCATCGATGTTTCTGACTCTCTATCCCTCTCCCTTTCTCTCTGTAAAAAAGAAATAAGGAAACTTGCTTGGAAGTAATCTGAAGAGAAGTCTGGTAATTAGTCATTGATGTCACTGTGGAGACAAAGGACTAATAGGAAAGGAGCCCCAGGGAACCTTCTGGGGTAATAAAATGTGCTATATCTTGACTGGAGTAATAATTACATTGGTTTATACTTTGTCAAAATTCTTTTAACGCTGCACCTAAAATCTCAGCTTTTTATCATATGAAAATGACATCTCAATTTACAAAATGCCTAGATTTAAGTCATTCATTAAGTTATTTAGATGAATCTCAGAATTATTACTCAGTTTCTTCAAGGCCTTTGTTTTGTTCTATTCAGAGCTGCTGTTGTAG